CGCGTGTAATTTTGACAGTTCCGCTGTCCGAAATGTATGCAACAGTCGGCTCTGCGATCGCATGCGATCGTTTGCGATTATATGGAAACAACTCTCTTTGCGATGGTCTGCGATCTGCGATCCGCGATCGTCTGTGATCGTCTGCGATCATATGGAAACCAGCCTTAAGACCCCGACGCTACGCTGGAGGGATTTGAAAACGGAGGTCTCACTCTAAAAACGCATCAAATGTTTTCCGTGCACACTACGCCGGAGGAATTTCAAAACGCAGCAATCAGCGGTCATTTTGGATTTGTGTTTGAGGAAAACTCGGCCAGGGAAATCACATGATTATCGTGACGTCATCGTTTTCGAAAAGCTCCGTTTTCAAAATTTTTGCTGTGCACATGAAAACGCGAAGGCGGCGTTTCCAAATTCCTCCGTTTTGAATAGCGTTTTCGAAAAGCTCCGTTTTCGTGACGGATTAGTGTGGACGGTTGGCCTAACCGTAGAAATAAAACTGCGTTTTTAAATTTCTCTGACGTAGCGTGGAGGCTGCCTAAATGCATATATGTTTGGTGGCTTTTTTGTGTTTGTTTGGCCTTTGTGTCATGTTGTCATGTCGCCGGCTAGTGTGAATCAGACTGGCCTGTTTGTTCTTATTTGTGTTGTTCTTGTTAGCAGCCTTCTCGATGATCCGGACACTCAGGTTACAATGAAAACATTGGGACTAATGAGGAATCTTCTATCAGGAAGAGAGGTAACTTCCAGTTTTGTTTGTTCATTTTTCAAAAACCAAAACGGGATTAATTCCAGTGAAACTCTCAGTTAATACGGACAACACAGGGACATACGAAAGTATCTGTATTATCCGGGTGTCCTTATTAAGCGAGCTCTCAGAATAAACGCCATTGACACTTGTTTTGACTGAAACGTACCACTTCGATGTTTAATACCTTGACTGAAGTTTGAGCTCAAAGTGAAGTAATCTTGCGTTAATGTCCTCTTGTCTGTTTTTAAACGCGATATGTAACGTATAGAAATAATTCAATAGTTTGCAACTTGGGTCAGAAACTTCTGCTTCAATAAAATAACATTGACCTTTATTAAGCTTTCATTTTCTAACCGGGCACAATTTGCGCATTTTTCTAGCAATTGAAAATCTGCGTTGTGATGATAACCAATGTCTGTTGGGAGGTTAAGTTTGTATGGGAGCGTGTCATTCGGGCGACAGAAAAGTGTTCATTGTCTGCATTCACAGGTGCTCGCAATGTGATGTAATAATTTTAAAATGCGCTAATGTAATTAGAAAGTATATGAGCTTTTCGTCGGGAGAAGCAAAAGCGGGTTTCCGAAGGGTGAGGTTCCACTGTGTCCTGAGTTTCTCCTTGAAACCTTCATCACTTTTGTCTTTTGTGTATTGTGGTGTGACGGCCTCAAAATGGCAAATTCGCAATGTTAACGAAAACGAACAACAGAAGAATAATTTTTTTATCATTTGGTGCTTAAATTGCAGGTGGTACAGGTCGGATCACAGGGTTCCACCCATTAGCGTGCGCTTTGTTCTTTTTTTACATTTTTCCTTGCTAAGTTCCCTTCCCTGCATGTCATTCAGTGTCATTTGTGAGAATTAGGAAGTATAGCTAGACATTGTCTGGGTTAAACTTTGATTTATTCTCCTTACTGTGTCCGGGAACGGAACAGTTAATTATGTCACAGTGTTCACGACTCTTCTATATATTATAGATCTCCTAAAATTGGCCTACGTAAGCACGTGTCTTACAGGAAACGTCGGCATGCAGGGTTTCTCTTATAGCATTATTTACATCCGTAGTATGTTGTGATCTGATGTTCCGCTGCATTCTACATGCAGAAGAACTACGTTTTGTTATGACCGTCAACTTTATCCTCTTGACTTCAGTCATGAGAGGTTGCTGACGCCAGTCCAATGTCAAACATCTATGCACTAAATCATTTTTCGTTTTTTTTTTTTGTTTTGTTTTGGCATATCTCTCGAGCGGACTGTAACGGTCTTAAACTCTCTGAACTTTGACTCTCTAGTCACTTGTGTTACGTGGTCTGGCATGGATCGTTTGTCACGCCATGCGTTACATCATCCGCCACTGACTGCCATTTTCAGCCTCCTTCCCAGGCTCTACATTCACTTCGGTTGGAAGTTCGCAATGTTCGCTGTTATCATACTTTCGTAACAACATGATTTTTAATTTTTGATAAATTATCAGATTACGCGGTTCACTCCAGAATATCAGTGACTTTGAGGTATGCTTCATTCTTGAACACTGTCTCAGTGGAATATTGCATGCCAGCATTTGAGGAAATGCTTGAGAGATCTCTCGCTCTAAACTGCCTGTCAGTACTCTGTGGCATCGCGTAATACAACTTCTCCCAGAACCACTTGTAGCTGACACTGAGATATGTGTTAGTGCGCATGTATAGCTTCATTTCGTCATCGAGCTCATCCATGTTGATGCCATCAAACAGAATAATTATCAGATAATTCATGCGATCTTCTAGCACTTTACGATGTGCCGCGCGAAACTCCAACAAGCACCATTCGCTCTTTAAAAAGTTGCGAGAGAGCACCATGAGCATGCGCTTACTTTGGTCAACGCTGTTCAGAATGTTTTCCTGGATTGGTGCACCCACTACGAAGTCGCGGTGGTGAATGCACAATTTGTAAGGGGGGTCGTGATGTTCGAGTCGCTCTTGCAAGGTGTTGACAACCCACTGGTGATCACTCCCGCTGTACGATACGAACGCGTCGTATATTTTTCTTGGATCCGAGTCATCTACACGGTCAAATGGGTGCCAGTTAAAATGAGTGTACATGAGGACTTTCATTTCTCCGCGGTATTTGTAAGCCACGATAAAAGCGATGAAAGTCAAAACCAGCGCGCCTCCAAGAGTCAACGCGATTATTTTGAAAGTCTTGTCCTTTGTTATAGATTGTGTAGTAGGGATGTCTTTCTTATTCTTTTTGCAAACAAATTCTTCATTTGGCAGAGTGTAAATTGCTTTTCCCTGCGTACTTCCCTCGGAGTTGCAAAGAACATTTTTAATGTGTAATATTTTACTTTGTTTTCTCTGTAGCCAGTGCTTTATCCATAATGTCGTACAGTCGCATTTGAAGAAATTGTGGTGTAACGCAAGACTCGTAAAGTTTAAATTTTCGATATTCTTAGGCAAATAGGTGAGTTTGTTCGAATCGATGAACAAAACTTTAATTCGCGTAAACCTTCGTACCGTGGACTTGTTTAATACTTGTATCTTGTTATGCGTTAAGTACAGAGCCGTCACATTTTCCATATAAGGATATGGTGGAATCTCCCGGATGTTGTTGTCCTCTAACTTAAGCTCTATGCGACCGCTTGGAACTTTGGGAGGTATTGCGGTAAGGTTTCTTCCTTTACAATCGATGACCACAGTACCGTCTAAAGCACGCACGAGACACAAGCATCCGTGGGGGCAGTTTTCTAGATTTCTCTGGCATTTAAATCGATTTTCGTCCACGGATAGGATCGGTTTCCCTTTGAGTTCAGTCGGAGCGGCGCATTTCCAAGTTTGAAACTGTTCATTTCGGATGCGCGTGTGCCTTTGAACTAAAGCTCGAAGCCAGCGACTCAGAAGCAGAATCTTGCAGTCGCATAGGAGGAGATTCCCCGACATGTCTATCTCGTAAACCCGCAGAAGATACTCGAACGTTAGTTCCTCTGTTCTGTTGAATGCTTCTATGTTGATCGTGGTGAACTTGTTGTGAGCGAAGCTGATAGACTTTAAACTTTCTTGCAGTCTCATTTGAGAAGAGCTCGCCGTATGGCGATGGTGATACAGAAATGTCTCCAAGTCTAATTCTTGTATCAGCCTGTTAAAGTCTTGAAACGTCAACTGATTAAAAGACAAATCAATTTTAACAGCGTGCCGTTGCAGTAGTAATGTTAATGGAATGCGGCTTATTTTGTTCTTTTGGAGATAAATGTTTTGTAATGAACTTGAATCTATGGAGAAAGCTTTGTCGTGTACTTGCGTGATGTGGTTGTCTTCTAAATGTAGAATTTTGATATTTTTTAACTTGCTGAACAATTCTTGTGGAATACAGCTCAGTTTGTTGCTATGCAAGTCAATTCTTTTGATTTGGGTCACTGTTTTGAAGAGATCGTTTGGTATTATCGAAATGTTATTGTGGTCAAGTCGTAATTCTAGTAAACTATCTTGTCCTTGGAACAGCTCTGATGGTAAACTTTTCAACTTGTTTTTGCTGAGGGAGATCACATGTATTCCTTTCAAGTTGCGAAAACACGATGTTCCAATGACTTTTAGGCCGTTTCCCTCGAGAGTCAACTTGTTCAGAAATCCTCTAAAGTTGTGCGTCGATAAATCTTCGATGTTGTTGTACGATAAATCAAGAAATCGTCGGTAGATATTTGGACGCACGTTAGTGCCGAATTGGTAGTGATGATTTCCTGTTGGAGTTCTTTGCAGTCCTCTTGGCAGTTTGAGCGTAGCTTTACACCATGGAAACGGAGGTGGTGTTGTTAGTTTATTGTTAGCAAGCTCAAGCGACTGCAAGAACGGCATCGTCGTATTGAGCTCCGGAGGTATCGATGTGAGTTGTAATTTGGAGAATACTACCTCGGCCATTCTTGGCCACACTTTAGTACTACTAAACATTTTTGGAAGAGTTCGTAGTTTAGATTTGTCTATCATAAGAGTGCCAATGTTTTCCAATGCTCGACGAGAGTTGTTTGCCAGCGTTTTATTTCCTTCTAGTAAAGTCGAGTTTTCCATGAGATAGAAAACCCGAAAGTCTGTAGCTTTTCCCCAGTGAGAGATGCCATCGGCTGAAAAGCTGCAGTGTCCCTTGATTTGCAAGTAAAATATGGCGTTTTTCTTTGTGGCGTTTAAAGAGTTGTAGAAGGCAATTTCCATCGGGGTTAAACACACGGCAGCAAAATGCAATACGACATCTTGAGGCGTTGTTATCGTTTTCAATATCAGACTGATGTCCACGACACATCGGTCGCGAACCTTGTCGCTTTTCAAGACACATATTACCGCTTGCTCTTTGATAAGAGTACCATTGCCTGTTTCGAAGAAGGACGACATAGACCTTTTCAACAGGCAGAAAGATGCACCGCAGTGTAGAAACCTTCTGCGTTGTTGTCCAGTAGCCTCGATCGCAAAGAGAACCAAGCAGCTGAATATAATCAGAGAGCCTTTCGTGTCGAACACAAGAGATGTGGCGAGCAGGACTGTGTGACGTTGATCAAGGACCAAGATGTGTAGATTTGATTGAATTAGTGCTGTTTGTGATTTCACAAACATAAATTATCGTGCCAATTCTTCCGGCTTATGCGAAAAGCCACGTACACTTCTTAGTGTTTACCGCCAGACATTGTTTGCGCTTCAAGTTTGAGGTTTTTGCGTGGTTTCCGTGTGAGAAAACCCACGACCTTGACTCTAATCAAGCTTAACGCAGACAGAAATGCTTGATGCGTCCCAAGGCATAATAACCTTTCATTTGCACTTTTCAAATTTGTTTCGTTTGAGTGCGTCTCATTTCGTCTCAGATACGTTTCAGTGTAAACAAATATCTATTATTAGATCATTACCATAATTATTTGCTTACTGAAGTCACGCCATTTCAATACCACAGCACTTTGCAGATGGTGGGATTACTACAGTATTTCTCTATTTCCTATTAGGCCTCAAACTTTTTCTTAGTCATAATTTAAGGCGTTTTATTAAGTCAGAGTTTTTTCATGGTAGAGAAGCGAAAGCATCAAAATTATTTGTTTTGTCGTGAGGCCTTACTGAGTGGGGGATTCCCCAAGATGAATTGAGCATGCTGGTCTTTTAGCAATATTTCAGATGATGTCACCTATTGTTAAGAATAATTTTGGTGTTTATAATCTGAAGCTTTTCAGTTCTTTCGGGTTTTTCTCCAGCCATATTATATACCCAAAACAATAATAGCAATTTATTTTCATTCATTTACGTAGCACATCGTAAAACGTAAAACATCAAACAAAATTTTTATAAAATATGAATAATAATAGTGATAAAGACATAAGATATAGGGTGAAAGAGAGAGCAGTATTATTACAACACACAATATAATTAACCAATCAATCATCGGTGATAATCCTATCTCGTTGGAAGGCCACAACCAAAAATCTTAATTTCTTATGAATAAAAGGATCTATTTTGATGAAAAGAGCAGGAGAAAATTTAGTTAGCCAGCCAGTACAGTTATGGGAGTTTGATTTTGTTGTAATGATCAGTTCACAGGAGGGAAACAAGTAGTGAATAATTATTACAGTGGACTTTGATCTCATCTTTTTAACGTGTAGTTTTGGATGGGAAGAAGTGCTTGTTGGAAAGTATCCAGCAAAAATGTGTAATACCGTAAACGTCCTAAAGTAACGGCCCTCTTTTACTTTGGGAATTAGCAGCCTTTGGGGCTCGTCACTTTCGGCGGGTCGCTACTTTCGGAAGTTTTAATGCGGTATAGCAGCTACTAAAGACACATGACGGTTTTCCTAAATCATTATTTTTAAAATCGATGAAACGTAGTGCTGGCTGGTTTCGCTATTGGTGAGTATCTCGCTATAAAGATCACTGTTTTGTCTGTCTTTTTAAGCTATGAACTGCAACAGAGTTGAAAGGAAAAACAGCAAAAACCTCTCTCGCCATACCAAGAGTTTGGTTTTTTTTTTTTTAAACTAAATATCGGACCGAGTTTATTTCTGCGCTTGGTCGATCTTGCTTATAGACATGTTTGGCTCAACAGAAACAGAAACTGAATTAGCTGAATGCAATCTATGTACTATTCATTCATTCAGTCTATTCATTCATTCATGTTTGACCACTTCTAATTCCTTTTGATTTCGTTTGTGCTTCTCTACAATGAAACCATGAAAAAAGTTTCTTTTGACTTAAGACCTGGTTGTCTCGCTTCATTTTAAGTAATGTTTGTTCTGATGACAATTGACTCATTGCGTGATAGGAATTAAACCTAATATGTGAAACAATTGGAGAACTGGTTTTAAATATTCGCCAAAATTGAAGCTCGAATGTTGTTATTGTTAACCAAGAACGAAACAAAAATATTTGCTAAATTCTTGTAGGACTTGGCAAGGTTCCACCATGTTGCTCAAAATATGAACACAATACCAAATATCGAAAACTACCCTTCAAATCTATTGACGTCTCGGATTAAAATGCTTGCTATGCACAAACGTCGACTGATAGGATCAAAGTAGTAATTTTTGCGCCATGTTTTAAAGAATTTAATCGATGGATCGGAGCAGGCAAGTTGCTCCTCGAAAAGTAGTGAACAGGTATGATACTAGGCTCGAAGATTTTTTTTTCCTTATGGTGAAGATTTGTTAACTCGTCAAGGTCTGGGTAATTCTTGTAGAAATTATCCTTACGTGCAAATAGCAAATCTCAGGTCTTAATGTAGTGATGAAACTTTAGCGAGATGGCAAATGAAGAGGATATTGATCAGGTCACATTTTTAGACAAGTTGGACTGAACTTGAATTTCTGTCTTAGCGAATTAATGGCGGTTTTCAAGAATCCAATTCAGTTTTCTCGATTGCTGATCACCTATACTGCTGCTCTCAGCTTCCAAACACTTTGTTTCTCTATCGTTTCAGCTTTGTAATATTTCGAGATCTTATTCCGCTTGGGCCGGGTTGTTCAAAGCCCGTTTAAGCTATCCCAGGATTAGGGAGAATTTTGCATGATATGGTTTTGTGACTTTTCAATGAGGTTTTCTGTTTATATTGTGTGGCATTTTGTTTTGACTTTGAATAATCTCAAACTACTGCAAAACATAAGCGATAAAAACATTTTTATACAAGAAAATTTTATGCTTTTAATCCTGGGTTAGCGTTAACCGGCTTTCGAAACAACCCAGTGCAGAATATTTAAACAGTTCGTAAGATGCTGTGTAATCATTTGATTGACAGAAATCAGGACTAGCGAAGAGCTCCTGTCAGATCGGCTACGAAATTACCTGTTTACGTAACGTGTTGAACCTCAATTTGGATGCGTTCTTCGAAAATTCAGGAAAGAGCAAGAGTATTTGTAGTATTTGGTGTTTGTAGGGAACAAATCTTGTGCGACCAGCCTTTTTCGTGAAAAGACAGTACAGATAAAACGAACAATGTTTTAAGCCTTTTTTCTTCATAATAGGAGTAAAATGTCGTGAAATGGATCCAAACACCAAATAACACGATGTAAATATTCGTTACTGCTTTCAGGCAAAAAAGCGAAAAACACTGATTAAACAAATGAAACAGTTTTTCTTCCAATGAAGTTAACAAGTTTAAAAAAGCAAATTACGAAAGTCGTATATTTAATTGATACCTGAAGTAACACTGGTCCACAAAACTGATAAGAACACCAATACTTTTTTTGCACCGAATATGGGCTGAACATCGTTCATATGAGTCATATCTGTGATTGACATACGGATGCCCGGCTGCCGGCTTACCGTCTTACTGTTGGTTGTTTCCGATTGTTGTGACCTTTCCATAACCTTCCCATGCGCCTCACATGCCAACACATGCTGCTCAAATCATGTGGGTTTTTCTCGGGAAAAAATGTCATCATTTTAATTAGTCATAATTTAGTTCTTTAGTTTCCACTCGTAAAAATGTTATCAGTTCAATTATGTCATAATTCACTGCTTTCTTTTTCAACCGTAAAAATGTTATCAGTTCAATTATGTCATAATTTGCTCTTTTTTCACTCGTTAAAACGTTATCAGGTTAATTATGTCATAATTACTCTTCTTTTTCACTCGTTAATATGTTATCCGCTTAATCAAAACTATAATAAAATTCTCGAACGTGATTGGCTCTCAGCAGCCCGATTTGAGCTTTAATTGGACAGTGTACGTGCCATGCTTGTAATCGGACAGTACGCGTCATTTTGCGCGTGCTGTTGTGGTGTACTTTGTTAAGTAAAGCATTCATAACGACGTTTAATCGTTCAGCGATCAATCGATGGTTTGTTCGTTTCTCGAATTTTGTCATAGTTTGGATTAATTGGTAACAGGACATCGTGTCGTCCAATTCAGTCTGTAATCATACTCGTGATTAACAAATCGGACTCCCGCTTCGCGGTCGTCCGATTTTGTT